TCGCGACGAAGAATGAAAATTGGGACTATAGATCACACCTACCCTACATTGCCAGACAGAGCAGCAGGGTTATACTATATACTAAATTCCTTTACAAGAGGCTAGTTATCCATCTCAATCCCAATCTACATATTGGTACACACCACCACGCCCACCAGGTTTTGAGACATCGGTTCTAATGACAACAGATATCTGTGAGTCACTTGGTTTAGAGTCATCATCGAAACCCTTTATGTCAACAGAAATGATGAATGATATATTTGGACAATTCTCTTTACTAACTCCACAACCAAGTGTGGCACAGGATGACACGCAACAGAGTTAGCACGTACCTTTCCATATTTCATATGATGATGATTATATCACTCGTGCTTATACAACAGGTAATATAGTATTTTATTATTATTTTTATTATTATAATTATTATGAATATTTTAATTTTATGTGTTAAATTTGACGTTACAGGGTGTTGATTTGCGTCCACAATTTTTTGCGGAGGCTAGTCATCCACCATCGCAACCACGTGTTTGGAGAAACCCTCAAAGGACAAGAGAACGACCACGTCGATGTATTCTGACTCTTGGTAGTGTTAGAGGTCATAATCATGACGAAGATCAGGATGACGATGATGAGTAAACATTTTATTATTATAAATAATTACATTAGTTTTGAAAAACGCTAAACATGCTAAAAACTTATAGACCGATCATCAGAGTTAGACGGAAAATTGCGCTTGTTGTGACCTTCTTGTTTGCATATGCTACATTTTTGTTGTCGTCGTGAGCTTTCAATCCAATCCTTCATTTCTAATTCTTGTTGATTTTGGTCGCCCTTTCCCATGCACAGATGTTGGATCTGGGACAAGTATCCAATCTTCATTACTCGGAGGGATTAAGTCTTCATTTTCGATCGGTTCCCACTGACTAGAGTATGCTTTTAAAACATAATCAGTTGTATAAACTAGATCTATAAACTGGTAGTAATCAATGCTAACAACACCACATGCAGTTATAACATGAGAACAAGGATAATGAAATGCTGTAAACTTTTTGCATTGACAATATCGTTCCTTTAAATTTACTACCCATTTCTTTCCCCCTGTTTGTCTTATTGGATCAAATGCCTCTTCAACCTCAAATTTTGAAGATTGAATGTCATATCTACAAACTTGGTAGGAAACCAACACTTAAGGGATTTGTCAAATAAGCCATTTAGATGTGTTAAAGAATGACACACATATTTTGTTAATGGGTACAAGTTTCAAACTTATGCATGGTGCAAGGAGAAAAAGACCATTAATAGTGGAGTTTATGTAAAGGGCATTACAGAAGGAGGTGAAGATGATTTCTATGGGGTTATTCAACAGATACACTACAAAAAAAAAGTCAATTTAGCCACCGAAATTAGCGACCGATTTTTTTTCCGTCGCTAATAGCGACATAATTAGCGACCGAATTTGATTTGGTTGCAAATTTTATTTAGCGACCGAATTTTTTAGTGGCAAAAATCGGTCACTAAATCGGTCGCTAAAATAATAATGTTCATTAAAATAGCGACGGAACGGTTTCGGTCGCTAAAAAAATAAAAATGTTATTATTTATAATAATTTTATAACACATCTAAATGGCTTATTTGACAAATCCCTTAAGTGTTGGTTTTTCCCATTTAAAGGCTCGTTGTGAACCTGTGTGCATGTAAGACACATGAAAAGTTATATTTTAATTAATGTATATATAATGGGGAATTAAAATAAATTGTTATATACGTACTTGTTCCTTGAACCATCTAGGAAAATCAGCATGTATACGAACAAAAGCATTTTCTTGAGTTTGCATGAATAAACTACCCAAATATATGACTTGAAGGGTGAGTTTAAGATTAGAATACAAGATAAGTTGTACAATAATGAAAACATTCATTGTCAAATGCTTACTCAAGGTACGATTTAATTTCAGTGCAATTGATCAACACATGAACATGGGCTGAATTGTGTTGTTCATCGGTTAACCATTTAATCAACTCCTTACTAGAATGGCGACTAGGTTGGTTAAAGATTTCTAGTAGGAGTGGCATTAGCAAATTAGAGAGTGTCCTTAGTAAGCTAGAGAGTGCTCCTAGCAATTTAGCCAAAGGTGGTCCTAGGCTAGAGAGTGGCCGGTGAATTTAAAATTTTTAATGCATAGATCATGTAACACCCCAGTTTTCATACTTTTTATTGAGGGTGATTTAGTAATTTTCATAAAGTTTATTTAGGGTGTTTTAGTAGTCCAGAACAGGTCGTTCTCAAATTGGAACGGGCTGTTCCAAGCTACTAAAAAAGTTTGATATTTAGTAGTCTAGAACGGGCCGTTCCAAATTACCAAAATAGCCTATAACCCTAGTTGGCAACGAGCCATTCCAAAGTTGAAAACGAGACGTTCCAAATATGGACGTTGTGAGTTAAAACTCATCTCCGAAACGGGCCGTTCTAGTTTGAGAACGGGCCATTCTAGATGTGAATTTTCCACATGATGAAAGGATCCAGAACGGGCCATTCTGGATCTGAAACGGGCCGTTCTGGAATGGCCCGTTCTGGCCACTATGGAAATCTATAAATAGAGCACTCTGGCACTTGAGAAGAAGAAAATGAGTAAGGGGTTCACGGGTCTCACATGCTCTGCATAAACTTTTTTCTTCCTTCTTTCATGAAAATCTGCTCTTTTTAGGAGGTTTTTTTTTATTTTATTTTTTTTCCCGCACCATACGCTTTTCTTTTCTTTGACTTTTCTACATTTTTACACATGTAATATATTTATATAATAAAAAGTAAAATATTTAAATTTGTCATTATATTTCAAGTGCCTTGCATAAACTATTTTCTTCCTTCTTTAATGAAAATCTCCTCTATTTAGCTGGTTTTTTTTTTCACCATACACTTTTCTTTTCTTTCACTTTTTTACATTTTTACACATGTAATGCCCATGATAAAATTTTATTTTATACAATAAAAATAATAAATAAGTACCTTTTCATATAAAATTATATAATTTTACTACATAAATTATATTCAAATTTTATAATAAATAATTTTTATTATGATATAAAATTATTTTAACTATTGATATTTTTTTAAAAGAAATTAGAAACTAAACTGAGAATATAAATTAAAATTAAGAAAATTCTTAAAGATTTTGTTAAGACAAAAAAAAATCCAAAAACACTTTCGTTCAATAGAATTATTTTAATACTTGTAGAGATATAAGAAATATTATCTCTAGTATTTTATCCTATGCAATATACATGGCAAATGTTTATTATATATAATTAAACTTTAAAATAAATTATGTATATAAATATATATTTAAATAAATAAATATTCTTAAATATAAATTATATTTTATATTTATGATAAATAAATTTTATCATACCACAAAATTATTTTTATTTATTGATAATTTATTTTAAAATATTAAAATTTAATTTATAAATAATTATGATAAACAAAAATCGAATTAGATATAAAGTTAAAAAACTCTTTAAAAACTTGTCGCTAAAAAAGAAAACTCCTAAAAATAATCACATAAAATAACAATTTGTATTTTATATGTAAGAGTTGATAATTTATTTTTAAATATTAAAATTTAATTTATAAATAATTATGATAAGTAAAAATTAAATTAGATATGAATTTAAAAAAATTATTAAAAACTTAAAAATTTCTAAAAACATTCTCACAAAATATAGCAATTAGTGTTTTATATAGGGATTGATTGATAATTTCTTTTAAGGAAATAGTTAATATAATTAGAATTAAAAAAATCAATTGTAGATGAAATGAGTATATTGTTAAAGATAATAGGTTATAAAAAAATGTTAAATTATACTTTTAAATTTTTGTTTTTATTTTTTTAGAATCATTTTGGTTCTTTATTAAAATATTCATTTTGGTTTTGTGTAAAAAAAATATGGTTCTAAAGATTTTTTTTTCGCAAATTTTACTTACTAATTTTCAAAACATTGTGGTATTATCGTATATAGGAAAAAATGTCACAATTAAAATAATTTTGTAGCAAGTACAAAGATTAAAGTTACGACCACGAGTATGAACACGAGTATACAATGCTTGGTCATACCTATGAATTCTGACATATCCTCAACCAAAGTTCCAAGTCTTACTCATTTTCTAGTTTTTGTGCTTTGAGAAAAGCACAACGTAACTCAATGCAGATTAGAAAACATGATCGGTATCTAACCCTAATGTTCCAACAGGTCAAGTTCTTTTATCTTTGATGGGATTTATTTTCCTCATGAAAGTGATGAGAAATCATTTTCATATCACACCAAACATAGAACGTTAACTACAAGTTTCTTCAGATTGAGATAGTTAATCTGAACTTATCTTACTAAAAAATTATGTTCAAGGGCACCGAATAAAATATCCATAAGCCAAAAATTTATGTAACTTTTACTTCCTTATTAATATCATTACCTCAACCTCCCTCCCCTCCTTTTTTTTTTTCATGACCAGTATTATCTTGCACAAGACATGTTTAGGAGTTTTCATTTGTCACTTTAAATACTAATTGTTAAAATAATAGCCTTATATATGATAATATAGATTGTGTTATAAATTTAAGATATAGTTTATATTTAAAAGTTATTTAATATGAAATCTTAAATGATATAAAATAAATGATCATGTATAATAAACAAATTAAAATAAAATACTTATTATAAATCAATCGGGTCTACCTCGGTTGAATAAGATGCATAAATACTGCCATCCCTTTTATATCAAGATCAATTTCCATATAGATAAAAAAAAAAAAAAAAAAATTAAAATACTAGCTACAGATATTTCATAATGCTTTATCCATAATTCAAAATACTATTACAGCTCAAAACTAAAAATCTAATGTTTTCTTTAGACTCCCCAAGGTAAAGCTTCTTACAACTTGCCTTGTAGAGGTATGACGGATGGGAAATACAATTCATAAATTTGAGGGCTCAATTAAATGCCGTGGATAATAATGGGTAATTTTATTCAACTAGAGACTAGAATACAGATATGTGCGGCTGTTTATCCTAGCCAGACTACACGCTACGATTAACAGCAAAATCCTACGATTACCAGCAGCCAAGATCTTAATCTTCTATTAAAGACACATTAGTTGGTTATTAACACCCAAAATCCTATAGTACTAAACAACATCAATCACAATATTTGTTTCTTCTGTCTGGTTAGAGTATCAATCATAAATTCAGAATTCCTCAATAAAGTGCAATACAAGCTACAAAAAATGCCTCCTTGTCCTATTATCCCCACTCTTCTCCCTAGTAGTACACAATATTGCTTATAAATACAATAATTCCCCACATTGACCGTGTAGAAAACAAATTGCTTCCACTTCACGCCCAGGTGAAGAGAAAAGAGGCATCTTAAAAATTGTGTTTTCTCATATCAGTCCTTGGCGCTGTAAGTCGGCGTATGTCTTCTTATTATAGATGTTGCCTTCTTTGTCTTCGTACTCTTCCTCTAGATCTGGCCGCCACTTGTTTACTCCTTGTCTTTGCTGTATCTTCTTCCAAAGATCCTTGGCTTCCTGCAACAGAGTATCATATCATGTAAGATACTATAGATTCAGAGGTTAAGGGGAAAAGCCCATAGATTTTCGTCAGAAATTGATTGAAAAGGACTGAAGAGTCCCACACATGTATCCTAGTCAATGAGATGTGAAGTATTCTGATTTCATGGGTGTTTTAACTATTCGTTTTTGAGCTTCTATCAAGTCACCTAGAGTGCCAGCGAGTATATATTCTAACTAGGGTATTGATTACCACGAGCTACTTTTCATAGCCAAATTACCATAGAAGATATGAAATAATCAAATTAGCATAATTAATAAGAAATAAAATAACAAGAATCAAAATCGTAATATTTAGCAATAACATTAGTATAATACATTTTTTATGTTCTAAAAAATTTAAAAATGCACAAGTCCATTAGAATAAGATTTGGCCAATTATGTCCGCCGGAAGATGTTTTAGAAAAGCACACATCCGCAAATGCAATTTCAAAATTGAAGTGTTCAGGTGTTTTTCGAAAGGGTACATAAAACAAACACTTCAGGAACTTGCAACCATTATAAAGTAATGTCGTTCAAACAAATAAATATATGAATACCTCAATTGATGTGATTTCATTGAAGTTCTTAGTATTTGGGATACCAAGACACCGCATGCCATGTTGATGGCGCCATTCTTTAAAATGTCGTTCAAAAGCCCGACGCCCCCAATAACTGTAGTTCCCACATATTTCACACTTAAATTCCTGAAACACATTATATTATTTAATGGTCAAAATATTGTGAGCCATAAAGAATCCTACTATAAGTCTAAACAAGTCCTTAACATTTTAATCTATTGAAAGTTTTAACAGAATTATCTAAAGTAACATGATGCACCAACAGGCAGTGGAACATATTTTAATTTTTAAAAGCTTTTCCCTAATATTGATTTTCAGTTTCCAAAATTTTAATGGCAAATAAATCATACCTGACCCAGACCATGTAGCTTATACAACCAATAAGGTATAGGCTTCCCATCCCATCCCATTGGTAATTTTAGGGGATTATATATCTGTTGCTCCTCGTCTTCGCTTTCAGTGTCTTCTTGTGTCTCTTCCTGTCAAGGGTCATTAAAAATAATGCACAATTAAATGAGCTCATTTTGGGGAGCAAAGAAGGAATAAAAGTAAATGGCCAAAAACGAGAAAATGCAAAGCAAATAGGGTACGGAAGAAAGCCTGAAACATCTCTCGCTAATATGGACCATGAAACTTGCAAAAAAAAAACAGTAAATTTCAATTTGTTCACAACGTTCAATTAAAAAAAAGGGGCAAAAGACATATTTTTCTAACACGGAGCCCAAGCATCATAAGCTCTATTTAGGTTATTACTCTAGTCAAAGTGAGACTAAACACACCCTCTTGAGGTTGCGGTTATAGCAACCGCCAAAGAGGCTGCTATTAAGGTGGCTTTCCACAATTAGGTTTTGCAATGCATTCTTCCAAAAATCAACGAAACTGTAATTTGAGAAACTAATATCATAGTGATGCAGTTATGAATCCCAAAATTTTAAAGAATCATTAAATTTCTTTGACTCACCTCCTCACGTTCTGCTTCAATTTCCTCGTATGTTAGGGCCTGCTTCTTTACAACATTATCTTTTGTTCGAGCAATTGTCTGTAGAAGGATCAGAAAAATTATACATCCAAACAGATATTTTGATACAGGCAATTATTATACATGCCCAAAATGCTGCAAAGACAGCAATAAAACTAAACTAAAGGAAGTTAAGCATAATGTACTAACCTCTTCTAACAAATCACAGAGTTTTGTCATTTTGGCCTCCATCAATGCAATTTCTTTAGAATTTCCATCTTGTGGAACTGAAGCAACCCCATTTTTATCTACACCACGTGCCCCCTTAGCAAAATGCTTCCTGTCCAACTTTTCAAGAGGCGTGTGCTGAATGAAAAAAAACACAACCAGAGAAAACTTGTTATATCGAGCTGTCAAGCCAGATTCAGTATACATATATAGCTTATTGGCAGCAAAGCTACTTTAGACAAAATTCAATGAACCATGGTATCGTAAGCAAATTGGGTGTTCACACAATGCATCTTCAAGTCAAACATGATATTGCACAAACACTTTCAATTTAATTTTGATCTACATGGAAATGCCACTTATGAAACAGATAATGAATTTACACTTCCACAGTATTCAAAGTGTATGATATAATGGGTAAGCTGAACAAATTCTAAATTTCATACTTTAAATAAATATAATAAGAAAAGCATAGAATTACAGATTATGCCAAACAACAATTACAAACACATTAGCTAGTTTTCCATGGACAGTAATAGCTGGTGAGAGACCAGAGTGATGGGCCAGTGTTTGTAAAAACATAGTTATTAATCCCGGATAGCAGAACGGCCAACTCCAAAAGTGGGATTGAGGGCTAGTGGATAACGAGATGACCGCTATTCTAATTTATTTATTTATATATGTATGTATTAAATAATTTATATTATATATAATTTAGTATACATATAAAAATTGAAAAATAACTCAATTTATACATTAATTATTTTCACAAATAAAAATTTATAGTACTTAAACAAAATAAAAAATAGAAAATTAAGAAAACAAAAATGTTAAAAGTCCTGTATTAAATTTTTTATTACTTAAAATATTATCTGAGTTATAATAATTAAAAACAAAGAGCAGTTAGTGTCTAAAAAAATAAAGTAAAAATAAACTTAACCTAAATTAGGTCCATCAACCAAACCAAAAGAGAAATTTAGGCCCATTAGCTCAACTTTTCCAACCCTAATTAGTTTACTACAACCCTCTAACCCTAAGACCAATCAGCTAATCACTGCCACCTCCTTCCCCTCTTAGAAGAAGACAGATCTGCAGATGATTTGCCGGAGAAGACAGTCGCTGATGTCAGAGAAGACAGATCCGGCACCCACCAGAGAAGAAGACAGATCTGCGGAGATCTTCTGGAAAAGAAGACAGATCTATAGGAGATCTGTCAAAAGGGAAAACCCGCCCCCAACCCATGATGGCGCCTCCTCACTCCATCGCTTTCGCAGCCGCTCCTTTAAAACGCTCCACATCAAGCTTTATGTAGCAGCACTGAGCCGCTCCAGCCGCTATTGATAATTATGAGTAAAAACAACTAAAAGTAGCACGTACTCCTTTAAAACACTCCACATCAAGCTTTATGTAGCAGCACTGAGCCGCTCCAGCTGCTATTGATAATTATGAGTAAAAACAACTAAAAGTAGCATGTACTCCTTTAAAACACTCCACATCAAGCTTTATGTAGCAGCACTGAGCCGCTCCAACCGCTATTGATAATTATGAGTAAAAACAACTAAAAGTAGTGCGTAGAAATGTTGATTTGAGCAGGTATATAATTTTGAATCCAATACAAGAAGCCCCTAGTCTTAGGACTAGTGACAGCCAAGTTGGAAGGCAAGTGATAGATAGAACCCAAGATGAGATAAGAAGCCAAAAAAAACAATTGGACCCACAGAAGGCATATAGGCCCAAGATCTGGAAAGTATATACTAGGAGAAATAGAAGAGACAGTGGCTGAGTTGGCAGAGAGACAAAAGGTAAAAGGGAGAGGAATCACGTGTTAGGGGAGGTTACAGTTATTAGTAGGATGGAGTGCCCAGCAGTGAAGGATGATTTTCTGTTATGGGTCGAGAGCAGAAGCTCTCTATAGGAGCTGTGCTATGTGGCAGAAGGAATTTATTCTTTATTAAAACACATTTCTCATCTAAGTAATATTCAGTGATTTACACTCTTTATTACTGTATAATTGATTATATTGCTGGTGGGGGATTCAGGATTGTATCAGCAATAGTAAACAAAGTCATTAAACATCCCTGACAAGACCGATTTTGAAATTTGAGGAACTACAGCAAAGATAAATCACTACATCCCTATTTCCTTTCACAGAAAAAACAATACAAATGAGAGTGGGGGGAGGAGAAACCCAGTACTTACTTATTTAAAAGGGTATAAAGTATAAATTACCTTAGTGAGAAACAGCCTCTCTGCACGTTGCTGAACAGTACCACCAGTCTTAAGCCCCAATGCAGCCAGTGCCTATCACATCAAAAAGCCGAGCAGATAAAGAAAACATAATAAAATAACTGTTTTACTGAAATCCATCACTGGCCAGAAAAAATACTTTATCTTTGTACTTCATGAATACCAAAAATCAATGTATCAAGTTTACGGAAAGTGATGGAGAATTTTTGCACATGACCAGCTATATTAATGAAGTCTGCGCACACACATACACACTCTCATACATAGTCATCAATTTTACCTCCTTTAACCTTTCAGGACCCACTTCCATCACCTCTTCAATTGTACTATAATAATCAAGATCAATTGCAGCATGCTGAGCAGGTATATGTCCATTCTCCTGATTGACATTTTCCCATCCCTGTATCTTACCAGCAGCCCAATTTTCTTCAAACTCAGTTGTTACCTGCCACAGTTATATTAGATTCTCTCTCCCATAAAAAGAGAAAAACAAAAATAATGCACAAGAAATCCCCATGTCAATGAGATGGAAATTAGGGGCCCATTTATTTTAGCTTTTTTCATGAAAAATCACTTCTACATTTTTGTGTTCGTTTTAAGCCTTAGAAAATAATTAGAATCAGATGGGGGAAAGAAATATTTCTGATTATTTTAAGAAGTTTTGAGTAGCTTCAGGAAAAATAACTGTAACTACAACTAACTTTCAAATAAAAAGAACCTAATATTTAAATAACCACAAAATATAGCTTCTGCTTCTTATAAAATCTCAAGATTAAATCACTTTACATAAAATTTCTTTATAAATACAACAACAACAACCAAGCTTTTCTCCACTAGGTAAAGCACGTACAACAACAACGACCAAACTTAGCCTTACAGAACCGGTTTGTAAGGTGAAGATTGCTCCCCATTTATATACACTATTATGACCTTATCTTTAGTCAATATGTAATTTCCAACACACATCCTTCACACCAAGGATTAGACATCTTTAGTGTGAAGTTTGCAGAACTGGACATCTGTGGGTGATCTAATAACGGCCCAATAGCGGGTGGTCTGATAGGCACAAAAATAGGAATCACTAAGATAGGCTCTGATATCATCTTAAGAAAGTGGGTTAAAAACTTAACTCAACCTTACAAAACTAACTTGTAAGGTGAGAATTGCGCCACATTTATATACACTATTATGACCTTATATCTAGTCAATTTGAGATCAACAAAATCAAACAAAGACAATGTTTGCTGTAAATCATGTCTATAGACAAACTATTGATCTCTATAGCCTTCTTAACTGTTTCACCTACATTTTTCATGGTGTCCTCTATCTCGGGCCTACCCACTTACCCTCCATCTGATCTACCATGCTTAGTGGAGTTTCTACATGTCTTGTCCACGCATGTGCCCTAACCACCAAAGGCTAGTTTTTGCCATCTGTTATATCACCACATATGGCTAGTTTCTTCCCATCTTTTTTACAACAGGTGCCCTACCACAGCTTTGTCTTTATAATTATCCCACCCCCAAGAAAAAATCAATTACTACTTTTTCATAGAGGAAAAATGCGATAATTAAAGGGTTAAAAACTTGAAGAGATTGGCACAAGAATTATAAGCATATTTACAAGACAGGGCCAGCTCAAACACATCACTGGAATTCATTGAAACAAATTTTTCAGAAGCAAAAACTCATGCTAATCATTCACAGCAAAGATTCATTCAGTTTTATCTAATCCAACATATTCAAAATTACGATAGGAAAAAAAAGGCATATCTGTACAGCAAGGTCAAAAATTAAGCTAAAAATGCCAACGGTTGAAAAAAAAAACTGAAAAAAAAAATCCATACTGATGGTGAAAATTAAGATAAAAATGCAACAAATTTAAAACTGTGGCCAGACAACATTAATCACCTTTGAGAAAATTCGATCAAGATCTTGCAGGGGCTCTGTCCGCTGGAAGAAGTATAATAGATACTCCAAAAGATTCATCATATATTCTCGGTACTGCCTGAAGAAATTTAACAGTAAAAACACCTTTACAAATACAAACTTCAAAAAAAGCTAGGATGCAGATAAATGCCAAATGATCGTGTAACTAGTTTAACAGAGAATTCAATTCACCTGGTCATTTTCATTTTGCGGGGAATCTTATCTGTGTCTGAGAAAACATCAAGATATGCAGAATACTCAATGGGCTCACCAAACTTAGAATTGACATATTGATGGTATAATTCATGCATGTCTAAGTATCGACCAAGAGCTTCCTGAAAGAGTTCTCACATAAACAGCTATCAGAAAAAGCTGAGGAGCAGAAATTATCAGTACTGAAAATGTGACAGCCTCTCCTGACAATAGAATATCTTAAGATTTCGTCTTGCATACTCAATATACTCATTGTCTCCAGAAAATGATTAACCTCATAAAACCTCTTCCCAGATTTCCCAATAACGCATAAGATTTAATTGTTCAATCATACATAAAATACATTGCATAAACCAAAATATCCTAAGAAATTGTAATTGCTATTCTTTAAAATAGTAGAAGACCCAAATAAGTTGTCTGTCATAAATGCTAAGCCAATTTCATTAGCAAACAGCATTCTCTATAATTTCAAGTTCACCAGAGCATTGCTGATTTACACACAAACGCAGAGAAAGAAAGCTAGAGAGAGAAAAAGAGACCTCTCCACTAAACTCAATTTGAGGTTCCTCTTTGAGAAGTGCTTCAAAATCGTCACTAGCGTCAACAACGCGTGCAACTGGATGCTTCCTGTGATACTCTCGAATCTGTAATGCCACAAAATAACCAATCCGTTACACATACACCAGCAGCAAAATTAAAATAACTGCGAGAACCAAACTTCATATATCCAGCTATTTATTTTCTATCAAAAGCGACTAAATCTCTAATTCTCATTCCAATTCCACATACAACTACAACCATGAACCGATTTAAACGCAACAATTTCGATTTCGATGCTTCACCACATCAATCTTCTATAAAAATAATAAAAATAAACTGCAGTGCATCTAAAAATTGAAAAATACAAGCTGACCTCCTTGAGTCTATCATAAAAAGCACTGAAAACGTTAATTCCAGTGGCGGTTTGGCCTCCCAGTGCAGCAATCTCGTCCTTCCTCGCATTGTCGTTATCTTCATATATCTCAATCTGAACCGTAGAACAGAGTATTAGGCTACGATGTGAATACGAAAAAGACGAAGAAAAACCTAATGAGCAAACGTACAAGCTTTTCAGTGGTGGAGGAAATGGTGTCGATCATGTTCCGCACACGGTGACTCTGATACAAACGCTCTTTGTTGGTGTTCGGTTCATTCTGGAGCTCCTTCACTATCAGCCGCTCCAACCGCTCCACCTCCTCGTGTGCTGCGCGCGTCACTTCCAGCACCGTCGACGACATTCTCTCTCTACAACACCTTTCACTGCTCGCAAAATTCCCTACTCGTATATTAACACCCAACCATATCAAGGCCCAATTCTTTCAAACTTTTAATGGGCCCAAGATTGGGCTAGGAACCCCAGCCCATTGGGCTCTGCGGGTCAATATAACTGGGCTTCAGCATTAATGAAATTTTCTAGGCTAAAAACGGTCCTTATAATCTTTTTTTGTTTCAATTTAGTCCCTCATTAATTTTTTGTTTCAATTTGGTCCCAAACTAATTAATTGGTTTCAATTTAGTCCTAAATTAATTAATTAGTTTCAATGTGAGACTTTCCGTCCAAATTGCTTTAACGGTATTAACTTTTGGCCACGTGGACGCCATGTAGATGCATACGTGGATGTCACGTGGATGAGAATTGTTTGAAAACACCTGGACCCAGAACGCCTCGTTCTGAAATCGGAACGGGCCGTTCTGGGTGCACTTTTGGTGCGTTAATTTTGCATCCGGAACGGCCCGTTCC